CTCTCTAACTGCTGGTTGAGGAAGACGTACTGCTGAAAGAGACATGGGCTCCTGAGACACGCGTTGCTGGGAAAGAGATGCAAGAGACACGCATTGCTGAGTGAGACACCGAGGGACCAGCACTGCTGGGAAAGAGACTGTGAGAGACTGCTGGCTGAGGGAGAGACTGAGCATTTTTCCTGAACACAAATTGTAGCTTGGTGCTTCCCTAATAAATCTTGTAATCTGTGAGTTCTGTGTGGCCACTGCAGCAAATTATCGAACCCAGGAGAGAGGTGGTGGGTGTTCTGGGAGGAACGGTTGGAGAAAGGGCTGGAGGGAGGCAGCATGTCTGGCCTTGCAGTAATAGACCTTGGGTTACTGCTGGTAACCCTGCCTTCCTCTTGTGGGATTAGAGGAGGTCAGAACATGGGGCCTCCTTGTCCTTTTAGCAATACTTAACCCCCAAACGACAACACTGTCAAATGTACATAAATCAAAGTTAAATAAAAGAAAAAAAGAATAGGATTTATATAGCATAAAACAACATATTGGAGGAAAAATATATATTATATATTAGTACCTATAATAACCAACATCAAAATAACACCAAGGATGAAACTAAAACTTAAACCAAAATCACCTGCCAAAAAATTTTACCATTAATACCTGTATTATTTATTTTGCTTTTAATTTTACTGTGAAGCAGCTCCTTTTCTCAAGAAAGTAAAAGTTCTAGTTCATGGCAAGGGGAAGGGGAATCAGAAGACAGAAGAAAAAGTTTTTTTTTTTTTTTAAATAGGGGTATGACTAATGGTAAACAAATGAAACTCAGGGAATAGAAAGAATATATGAAGTCGAACTTTCAAAATGAAAACTCTTTCAAATTGTACTAAAAACCCGTTGCCATTGAGTCAATTCTGACTCATAGCAACTCTGTAGGACAGAGTAGGGTTTTCCAAAGTTGAAATCTTTACAGAAGCAGACTGCCACATCTTTCTACCACAGAGCAGTGGTGGGTTCAAATCACAACCTAACAATTAAGAGTCAACCACTTTTACCACGTGCTACAAGGGCTCCTTTCAAATTGTACTGGTTGCTATTTTTACTATTTACTTTTTATGCTAGAATTAAATCCCAAAATTACATAAAGATCCACATTAACATCCACAGAAAGGATAACAGTCCATTCCTTCCTTTCCTTACAAAACTTCCTAAAAATTATACATAAGCTGCTCCTAAAAAATCATGAGTGGTCCATGATCAAACCAAAACCAAACTCACTGCCACTGAGTTGGATCTGACTCATAGCAACCCCTCCTTGGGTTTTTGAGGCGATGTCACTATGGACGTAGACTGTGCAACCTTTCTTTCGAGGAGTGGCTGGTGGATTTGAGCTTCCAGCCTTCTGGTTAGCAGTCAAATGACTTAGAACATGGAATAAAAATACCCAAATACTTTCAACCTATTTTGGGTGTAAGTGACTATCTTCTTCAGGGTTTCTTTGTGTTTAATGAACCTCCAAAGACTAAGCTCCAAAGCATCCCAAAAGCCTTAGAGCACCCTAATTCTTCAAGGGAGATGATATAGAAAATAATGTTTTATTCATTCTCCTGAAGGGTTTTCAATCTTTATCAGAAATCTTTCCTAAATACTTAACAAAAAAATTAAAATATTTTTAAAAAGATTAAAACTGCCATAATGAAGAAGTGTGTGTATTTTGGTAGGCTTGCCAATACTAAGGGAACATACAATTTAAAATATAAACAAGTCTCTACTCAAACTATTTTAATCATATTAAATCAAACAACTATACAATGAAACTCAATTACTGTCTCATTAAATAATTACAAATAATTACCTTGCATTTCTTTTTTCCACATCAGAGCACCCAATACTATTTCTGTAAATTGTATCAGCTAAGTGTACAAGATATCGACAGAAGTTTTCTAACTGAGAAATAGTTCTTTCTCCTTTCAGATTCATGAACCATTGTTTGGGAAAACAATTGATTACCTATAAAGAAAAATATAAAATAAAAGAGTTAAAATACAAAAAAATAAAAGTATCTAAAAGCTGAGTCTAGATAATAGGTGTAATACATTTTACTAGAAGATTTGCTATTGACCTATATGTAACTAATTACTCTGAAGGAATGATAATCTTTTAAACATAACTTCCTATATTAACTATATAAATATACTTGAATTCCAATAGGTAGGTCAGGCAAATCAAAAGATAATTCATCCAAGATTAAGTAAATTAGGGACCTAAAATCTATCCAAGGATCTTTGCAGAAATGACAGATTCTAGGGTAGAATAAGTATGAGATGAGATGGGAACATTTTGTGCCAGAAAGAAAGTGCTTCCAAAAATGAAGGACATTCTACAAAATAACTGGCCTATCATCTTCAAAAGTACCAAGGTAGTAAAAGTCAGAGAAAGAGTGAACTCTTCCAGATTCAAGGAGACTAATGAGACCCGACAACTAAATATAATGCATGGTTCAGAATTTCCTTCTGTTAATAATGAATATAATTGAGATAATGGACAAAATCTGAGACTGGATGACAGTAATATTTCAGTGTTGATTTTCTGATGTTGAGGGTTATATTCTAACCATGTAGAATAACCATGCTTGCAGGAAATATACAGAAAACCATTTGAGGGTGGTGGGGCATCACATGGTAGACTTAATCTGACATGGTTCAAGGGGAAAAACCTCTTTGTATTAGCAAATTTTCTTTAATTTTGTGATTGTTTCAAAAACTATTTTTTAAAAAAGATCAAACTATGTAACTCATGTATATAAAGTAGAAAACAAAACAGTATTGAACAGTTATTTCTTAAATGAGAAAAGAAACCATTTCTTTGGTAACATTCATTCAACTGTAATAAAATGATTGTCTTGAAATAAAAACTTTTATTAACCTCTA